CAGCTTTCTGGGCCCCTGGCACTCTGAGGACAGGAAGGCTTGGGCCACATGGTTGCCTGGGGTGGGGTGGTGCGCACTTGGGTGGTGGGGGCCCCCCAGCCACAATGGAGGGGTTTGGGGGTGCAGGGCAGCGCCCAGTAGCGACAGTGAGGACCAAGTGGGCTCCAGTGATCACAGAAAGGGCGGGGCTTTGGGGGGAAGGAGCATGGCTGGGAGATCTAGCCTTCCCCACCAGCCTTTGAGACATCACCCCCAGTCTTAGCCTTGGTGTGCAATTGTGGTGTCGGTGTGTATGTGAGTGGGGGTACCATCACGAGAGGGAGAGGAATTAGTCAGGGTGAGCCGTGGCAATGCAGGTGAAGATACAGGGAGGGGCTTGAGCCTGGTCAAGTTCAGGAAGGATACTGGAGACGGTCCAGATCCCAAGACAGGAGTAGCCGGCAGTGGAGTTATCTCCCAATGGAGCTACCAGCAGAGGGCGCTCCATCACCCTGGAATGCGAACACAAAACTGGACCAAACCCTGAAAAAACTTTCTGCCTTAGGCAATGCTGCCCATGGGGCGGTGGGTGAAACTTCCCCTGTTGGAGGCCAGCTTCCTGCCCCACCTCGTAGTGGCCCTGCCCACACTCCACCCTAGCCCCGCCCACACTCCCCCCAGACCACTCCCCGTTATGTACGTGGCTCCTCTCCACTGCCGCTCGGCACATCCCTCCTTTTCTCCACTCCCTTTCTCTGGTGGCGGAGGAGTGAGAAGCGGAGCAGTGGAGGGAAGTCTGGAGAAAGGGGGTGCAGTGGGGGGAGAGGCATCTATACTACAGAGGCATCGTCCCCTCTCTTGATAGTCACATCTCCCCTTCAGCTGCAGCAAATGAACCACGTCAACCCTGACTTGATTAGCCTCATTAACACATAATAAGTCACTTTTGTTGTACTGTCATATCTATCTATCTATCTATCTATCTATCTATCTATCTATCTATCTATCTATCTATCTATACACACACCTTTGCCTCTGCAATTTCCACTCCCTTTCATCTGATGAAGTGGGTTTTACCCACAAAAGCTCAGGATTCTATATATTTTAGTTAGTCTCTAAGGCAGGGCTACTCAACTTTGGAAGTCCTGGGGGCCACAATGATACTCAAAGCACACGCCAAGGGCCACAACTTACATGGAGGTGCATATATATGCAAATATATATGCAAATAGCTTCTTTCACACAATGCCCCAGGCCTCCTGGAACTTCCTCCCTGGGGGCTAGACACGCCGACACCCTATATCCATTTGTTCCAGCCAGCCCATCTGCTTGCATCTTTCAGGGTATGTCTAGACTACAGGCTTTTGTCAACAGAAGTTTTGTCAACAGATACTGTCGACAATGCTTCTGTTGACAAAGAGTGTCTAGACTACATCCCGTTCTGTCGACAAAGCAAGCCTCTTTGTCAACACGACAGCGTAGAAGCAAAGGACAGTGGAGATGCAATAACGCCTTCTGTCGAAAGAACTCTGTCGACAAAAGGCATTATTCCTCGTAGAATGAGGTTTACAGCCGTCGACAAAACTGCCGAGTTCTGTCAACGTTATGTCGACAGAACTCAGCGGCAGTGTAGACGCAAGTATAGTTTTGTTGACAAAAGTGGACTTTTGTCGACAAAACCCTGTAGTCTAGACACACCCTCACTGCTCACCCACCTAGGAGATGCCTTGCTGTTGTGGAGCGTATTCCCAGTGGAGGTCATGTTCAAAGGATCCCACTTGTGGGCACATGTTGAGCCCCGCGTAAACCGAAACCGCACCGCAGGCAGAAAACAAATGGGCCATGCCCTGCTCTAAGGGTACGTCTCCACTGCACACTTATTAATAAGCTTTTCCAGAAGAAATACTCCAAAATAGCTTATTTCAAAATAGCGCATCTACAGTACAGGGTAGCCTCAAAATTAGTTCAAGGCAGGCTCCCCTAAAGTGGATGCACTACCTCGACTTACAGCCCCAGGATGCACTGGGGAGCAATTACTTTGAATGGCCCTGAGGAGGAGCTATTTCGAAATGGCAGGAGTGGAGCATCCACATGACTGCGATTCCAAAATAGCTATTTCAGAAGAGGCCTTCTTCCTCGTGGAGTGAGGTTTACAGAAGCCAGACTAAGCCGTCTGTTTTTTCGAACTTATTTCAAAATCACAGAATGGCTGTGTAGACGCTCGCATTGTTATTTCAGAATAACGCTGCTGTGTAGACGCACCCGAAGGTGCAACAAGACTCCTCATTTTTCCTCACAGAACATTGTCATTATGTTCGGGTATGTCTACACTACAAAGTTAATTCGAACTAACAGCCGTTAGTTCGAATTAACTTTGATAGGCGCTACACAGGCAAACCGCTAGTTCGAACTTAATTCGAACTAGCGGAGCGCTTAATTCGAACTAGGTAAACCTCATTCTACGAGGACTAACGTCTAGTTCGAATTAAGTAGTTCGAATTAAGGGCTGTGTAGCCACTTAATT